AGTGCCATGTAAATGAAACTGAACACATTGTGATGATGATTAAAACACCTTTATTCATGTTTTTGTGGCGTATGTTAGTGTTTCATTCAGAAACAGTCTCCAGCTGAAGCTTGTTTCCTGTGTGAGCGTGAAGCACGTCTGCAAACAGACTCCGCGATGTGGTGACAGGATAGTTTCACTGCTGACTTTCACACTAATCCCGAGACGTAAAGAGACTTCCTGTTTGCAGCATCGATGACGACTGGATGAGTTTCTGCTAATTAGGACACAAATTAAAGCTGGAGGCTGACTAAGAGGACGCATTAGTCAGTGCGCCCCAGGGCGGCTGTGGCTACATGTAGCTGCCATCACCAGTGTGTGAATGTGTGGATGACTGGATGTGTGAAGCGCTGTACAAATACAGGCCATTTACCATTTACCATTAGCTTAAATGGATTTTTGAGCGATGAACAGAGTAACATCGGCCTCCGCGGCTCTTTGTGCAGGATTCATATCCAGCGTCTGTGCTGCAGGTAAAACAAACCTGCCGTGTTAACTCAGCAAAGCGATGCAGTGACCGAGGCGCGCCTGAACTCACCGAGGCTTTACGGAGCCGATCCGTCTTGCCAAAGAAGTAGGCATCTTCGAAGGAGGAGGTGCTTCCTCGCAGCTTCTCCGACAGGTTCCTGTAGAGGCGCTTGGCGGCATTGGGGGAGGCCGGCCCACCGGGGCACTTCCTGGTCTGGGACAACTGTAGGTTCTGCATCTGCTGCGTCATAACACCTGGGAGCCGTCTGCTGGGATGGAAAAGATCGACGTTAGCTGTTGGGATAAAGCGTCGGATACACACAAACACAGTGTGTCATCAAATGTTATTACAGGATGAGCTTTGACATCCTCACAGAACCAGAGTTATGCTGAGCAACCACTGCTCACTTTGGACCATCACAGCTGGAGGATCCTTTACATCAGTAATGCTGACAGACCAGCAGCTGCCAAAACCACCAATCAGAACCTCCGAGGACGTCCACAGTTTTACAGCACGCCCCAAAAGTCGAGGCAATAAACACGTTTGTTTATCTCAGGTGAAAATAATCCACAGACTCTTCCATTAAGTCTCAAACATGATTAAATTAATTAAAATAACTGTTATATTTCCCACACATGAGCCAGGAGGAGCTGAAGTTTGTGTGAGCTGATCAGGAAGCATAAAGAGTCGTGATTGTGCTAATGAATATGCAGCCTTTATAAAAGCAGCATGTATAAAGTTTCAACCTGTCAGTGCTCGCGCTCTGCTTGAAGCCCCTTCAGCCGTCGCATTGTCAAAAAAATCCATTCAGTTTTTGATCAGGCAGCTAAACGGCTTCCCGTC